AGTTAACAAATGAGCATAAGGACTTATAATTCTTTTATTGCATCTTGTTTCGGTAATTGCAGATATTTCTTTAGCCAAATTCATAATTTTTAGTCTACTAAGTTCACTGATAATAAGTGACAAAAAATTCTGTGTTTTAACTTTGGTTGTTTTTGCTTAGCTCTTGTGCTAAGGAAAAAATTAAGATACTTGATCTTTTCAATACTTCCCATTCCTTATCCTTTTACTATGTGTTCTAGTCTTGTCTGCATTTTTCTTGCAAATAAATTATTTCTCCATATTTCTGAAAATCAGACAATCTCCTTCTTTTCTATATTTTTGCTTCTGCTTTGTACTTTTGAAGTAGAATGTTTAGAGAGAAACATCAGATCCAGAGTAGGATGCCCAGATAATACGATTTAGTAGATCTGAAGAAAATGTTAAAGAGGGATTTAGGGTGCATATGCATACAGCACATATGATACCAATCCACAGAAACAATAAAATGGAAATTAAGATTCATGTCTCTAAAATTCATAACCTCTATCTCCCTCACTACACATGTGCTTCACCATTCCTATCATTATAGCTACTGCAGCCTAGAAACCACATGTTGCACTTTGGATGACTCTGAATTTCACATTTTGGGAAAAGAAGCTTGAAATATTCAGGGAAAGCTAAAATGTTTCCTGCAGTTGAGAAAACATTTGTAAGAACTGCAGATACATAAAGCATATTCTGATGTGTAGTAGGAAGTGGCTGGAAATCTTTTTGGGCTGATCTTAAGTTTTCACAGCTCGTAAATATTATGTAAATATTACTCTGAATTTCACAATTCAGACAGCTGAAAAAAGTAGAGCACTTCAAGTGATAAGGTAGTAACACTCTTTTCAGAAGGAGACAAGTAGGTTCCAGGTAACAGAGTTTGTATTGCTGTCAATGGAAGAGACAAGAACTGGTTCAGTCTTTGGCCTGATATCTCTATGAACAGTTATTTCCAGGGTGAACTTCATGATCTGTCTATTCTATACAAGCGATGTGAATTTACTACTCATGATACTGTAAGTTTCAAATCTCAGTTTATAATTTGTAAATTCTGATATTCAACAGAAAAAGGGGCACTGACTTGGAAGCTTTTTTACATTAGCTCACTATTTCATGACAATCATCTCACATACACAAAAAAGTAAATCTCCACTACTGCATATAGTTTAGAGTGGTATAAGATTGCCACAATATTTCTATTTTTTTCCCATTGAAGCTTAGAATGATTCTCAATTGATGTTATATTTGAGTGAAAAATAACAATATTTTTAGATAGTTTTGCTAACACTCTGATGTAACATAAATATCTGACCTAGCTGTAGGGCAGGAGAGGTCAAAGACAATATTTCACTGTAAGCTACAAATTGAAAGAATACCTAGCTTAATTTAAACAATTCCATTATCTTCTTTTTGTTTAATCTATAACTATTGCTTATTTTTAGACAGAATGTTGGATGTTTATATAGCTCCATTCTATGCATTTAGCTCTCAAACACAGATTTCCATTGAGTTTTTTGTTAAAGTAAACATGACTACATCAGGAAAAGACATAGTTATGCGTTATACAACAGCGTGAGAACATTTTTCCAAAAGGATGATTCTTTTCTAGGCACTTCATCAAATTCCTTTTTGGTCTTTTTAGTGCAGACTGAGTCTGATTTCATTCAAAGCAACCAAAACACATGAAAGAATGTGAGGAGGTAGGTCTGAAATAAAATCCATGTTGTTGTCATGACAACTAAAATGCTAAAAAGGATGCAGAGAATTATTATTAAATAAGATATTGCATCAAGTTGTTATGGCAACTATATAGTAATAGCAAAAAAAAAGGAGGTTTCAGAATAACATTGTATGAAAAGTTTCCTCTTTATCAAAACATGTCATTGTAAAAGTATCATAATGACGAAGAAAAGGAGTGGAGGACTTGGTACAAAAAGAGGTCAGGATTCAGCTATCTGCCTCAGTGTATTTACCTTAAGTGCTGTAATGTTCCATGGAGAGTATCTCTGCTTGGTTTCCAGTCCTGTCACAGAGGGATTAGAACATAGAAGACACTAGAATATATTCCAGTGCTCTTTCCCAGCATTATAGCAATAAAGTTCAATGCCACATTTCACAAATAAGCCTTCATGGCCCCCATTTACCCGCAGTGAGGTAGATGAAGCTTCAGTGGCATATAAGAATGGACTGTGAAACCCTAACTCAAAAAAATGGGATAGGGGAAAGGTTGATGGTGACGAGTAGTATCAAGAGGCTTTAATTCTGTGAAAGAATTATTTTTCAGCACACTAGATTACTTCCTTGTTTGTTTAGCTTAGGACTTCATAATAAATGAGTATTTGCTAATAGAAATCATTAAAAGAATTGTATAAACCTATTTTTGAAGCCAGGAAACTTCTTAAGCAGCAACAGCAGTAGAAATGACTATCTGGGCTCTGTGCCATAACTTGTGGTATAAGCAACACTAGAGGCTGCTTTGCCTGGTGCAAAAGAAATGAGATATTTTGCTCAGGGAAGTCAAAATATCTCCCGTGCTATTTTCCCTTGTGTGTGGTGCCCAGCTGGCTCCATCCTGCAAGTCACTGTGGTTTGTTCTTCCTGGTTATAAACCCTCTTCTGGGGAACTCTAGCAGGGAGTCAGAGGCTTTTTCTCCCAGCAGTGCTCCCTTCCTGGAGGCAGGAGTGAGTGCAGGAAAGAGGAATGACCAGGGAGTGTATGGAAAGTCAAAGTCAGAGATACGTAAGGAGCAAACGGACTTTGAGCGTTAAGAGCTGGCCACTTTCTTGGCCCCTTAAGTTCTCCCGCAGCAGTAGGTGAGGCAAGCTGATTGGTATTTTTATCCGGTTTCTGTCAATGAGCAAGTGTTTTTCCAGTTAAATAATTTTTTATTATATAATTTTCATGAAAAATAATTGCTGTGTGTGGAGATAACTTTTTTATAAATATATATATTTTTTAAAGTAACAGAAAGCTAAAATATTGCAACACTAAAGAATGTTGGCATGGGTGCTCTGTTGCAGTGTCTTCTGGCTTCTTTCTTCTGAAGTTTGCTTGTCTGATGTCTGGCTTCATTTTTAAGGGCTAAGCTCCCCAGCTGGACTTGATTTTGTAAATAGTTTCAACTCCAGTTCTATCCTATAACATTAATCCTCTTGCTATCAGTTGAAATTATGTAATCCATCCAGAGGTAAAGGAGAATTTGAGCTTGAGGGACTATGAAAACTATGAGTAGTGGAAGATACCAGGTCTTGAATCAGAGTAATTTTTCAGAGTTATTACTAAAAGTATGAGACTTGTGGGAGATGGAGAACATGTCTGGAAGCCTAAACATAGGCCTGCATAAAACTGCGGTACATTGTGATTTTGCAGATTTGAAAGTAGTTGCATATTTGCATTGAAAATATGTGTGAACCACAGCCTGAGGTCAGATTTTAGCTACTTTTCACTGGGATTGTGATGGTAGACAACCAGTCTAGCTGTCATGATTTCTGCCTTGGAAACTTTTTTATATTTTATTTTATTTTGAAATTCAGAGAACAGTGAGTTTTAGTAGAAACTGTAACTGTAGGCATATATTTCTTAATCTTCATGGTATTTTCTATTGTGTTTGTAGCAGAGGTACGGACTGATTTGACTTTACGGATATGGTTGGAAAAAAAGGGTTCTGGAAAAAGTTGGCTTCCAACCCAGAGGTTGCAAGTGGGATGGTGGCGATGAAGTAGGACAGAGGAAATGAACTCACGTGTAAATAAATTAAAGCTTCTTTTTCTTTCACATTGGGATGGCAAAATCCAAGCCAGCAGAACTCTTCCAAGCAGACTCCTGTTAAAGAGCCCTGAACTCCTTTGCCTAGCTTCAGCAGCCTCAGATGTTTTTGTCGCTACAAGTTCTTGTTTTATCTCCTGGGACTAAATTAAATGGCCTTACTAGCCCAGAGAAAATTAATTTGAATCACTTCCCTGCCTCTAATAGTTTATGCCACTGTCCCACTGGCGTAAACAGAGGTCCTGAAAGCATGAAGAGATGTCCAAGCCACCTGTGCACAGCAGGCCCTTTTCCCGCATGGCTAGTAATAGCTAATGAAAACAATTTGGGTTCAACACTAATCAAATTAAGATATTTCCCCGAGGGAAGCACCAATTACATACTTCTGTGTAGTATCTATAGCTTGGCTAATTCTCAAGGCTCATCTTAATGACACCAACAAGATTTGCCAGTTACTGCTATTCTTCATGGATCAAACCAGGTGGTAAGGGTTGCATGCAACACCACTTGCCCTGAATGTGTGGTGTCATCAGCTAATGGTGTTATTTCACCACTCTGTCTGTTTTCAGCGGGACATAGAGACTACTGACATCCTACTGATTTCCAGGGCAGTTTTGAAATACAAACATAAGTGTAGAGTGCCTTGAACACTTAACAAGATAAAATCTGTTTAAGTAAATATGGAAAAGGAAGGTGTGTACTAGGGAAAGATTATGAGAAGAAGAAATAATAAATATACTTTAGAAGAGGCTAGACAGAAATTGGTGTCTTAATTACTTGGCTCACTTTCACTAAGTGGTTGAACAAAGCTACCAACAAGTAATCTGATTAAGAGAAAGCATCTAGATTGTATTCTGATTATTGTGCTCTTTTTTCCTCTGACTGAAAAGAGAGTCCTGGAGGACTGCTGTGCTCAGACTACCTGTTAGCTTTGGTCTTTGCTGCCCTTTGCAAAGTGTGATCTGTTTAAACCTTTGTTAGTTGTGCCTCCGTTCCTTAGTGCCTGCTCTCATGCAAGACTTTGTACAGTTATGAAGGGTGTGTGTAAAGCTTCCTCTGTTATGGTACCATGGCAAGATTTCTCCAGGAACGTCCAGCTTGGCTCTTCTGTAATACTTTGCACAGCGCCTTTCTTCTCATCAGAATGCACCTGAGAAGTGTGACTAGGTGTTTAATATCTTCCTAAATTTAAATTTTTCCAATCCTGTAGGAACACACTTGGTGCCATTCCTGGCTTTGATAAAAGCCACACAGCCAGCTCCAGACTCTTGATGAGCTGCAAGTCACTATTCCAGGTAAAAACACAAGGCATCTCTACTCTGGACTGATCCTGCCTTGTAATTGTTGGAAAGAAACACCAAATAAATTTTTGAATACTGAAATACACAATATGCACAATTTTCTTATCTTTTTTAATAAAGAGCAGTCTATAAAATGTAGTGCTTATATTCTAGTCTGAGAGAAAGGAGCAAGGATGTGGTGAGGAGAACAACTGAAGCTGAGAGAGGCAGCTTAAGCTCTTCCACAGTGACTGTGGCTTCATCATGTCTCTTAACTCCTGCAATCAGATGATCATATACTGATTTCTGCAAGCATCTGAGAAAGCGGATATAAAGAAAAGTGGAGAAGAAAAGAAAAATTGTTTTTCCACTTTGATGATTTGAAAATTTTCTTCATGTTCATTTTATTCTGATGCAGAAAGATGCAGCTGGTGAAGTGTTCACCGAAGCACAGCAGAAAAATGAGTACTGCAGGAATCTGACAGGATAATGCAGAGTTTTGGTGCAGTGATTTGCAAAATAGATGGGACACTGGAAATAAATTTTTGGTCTATCTGGAATTCTGAAATCTCCAGGGTATGGTAATGTGGTTTGTTCATAGACTTATAAAAAAGACCATTTCAAATATGTGGATTTATTTATCATGAGTCATCTAGACACATGAATCAAGGGGACAGCAATGGGGAAGTGTCAGCTGTTCTCATTCTTCTAAATAGCTTCACTTTCAGATTGCTGAAAAGGTGTGTCATTGCAGCTGGAAACTTTTCCTCTTGGAATGTATAATGATATTGTTTTTGCTTTAATTGGGATTGCAACAATAGTCCTTTAAAAGCGTTTTTCATCTTTCTCTGAGTGTTTCTTACTGTATAGGTCTTGATAAATCAGCTCACAATAGGGATAGGGATCAGGTTCTTTTTGGGTTTTATTTTTTTGTTATTTTGAAAATGTCTGTATTCCATGGACAGTTCTTCCATTGCATTGTATTTTCCTGAAGGCTTTATTTTATCTCTGCTCAGAGGAATAATGAGAAAGAAGCCCAATCTTGGAATAATCAGTGGCAATGGTTTAAAACAACCAATAAAAAATACAAAAGTTGATTATTTTTCTCTTGTTAAAAATTCATCCATTGAATCTTGACCTCTATTTCTATAAAGACCAGGTAGGTTACTCCTTTCTGGGTTCTTCTGTATCCTAATAAAGGGTCTGTTATTGTATTTTCATTTAAAACAACTGTACTTTTGTGTATTCTGCTGTGGCCACCATAAGAGGGCCTGAGGCTAAACAAGGAAAGATGACTCGGGTATGTCTGCAGTGTGGCAATATAACTGCAGACCAAACCAGATAGCTTCGACCTAACTGACCAAAAGTAGTCCAGCAGTCCATCTAATAGCTCATCATGGGATGACTTATGCCCTCTTCTGAAATTGGGTGCTACCTGTGAACTTCCTTTCTGTGATTGCTTTGACTTTCAAAGCAGAGTAGAGAGAGAAAAAATGTGTTGGCAATGCTTGTTGCCAAATGTGGCAATATTGGGCAATTGATTGAAATGCCCTGCAATTGATTTAAAATGGCTCTGACTTCGAAACAAGATGTGTTATGGTCTATGCCTGAAGAGCAAATGTGAGCATAATAATTCACTTTATCTTATATAATATGAAATTATCATTACCACTCTGGTTCTTCCCATTTTTTTAAAGCTGAGAAACAAGAATAACTCAGCATTTAACTGTCAGCATAAATTGTCATCCCATTTGGAGACCTTGTGCTAATTAGGTTGTCTCTTAAAGGAATCTTAGAATAATGCAAGGAAGAAAAGTCTTAATTGGCAAATTTCCAGTATGAGAAGACTAAATATGAAGCTGGGCAGTTCTCTCTGCCTTTTGTCTGAGAAGTGGTCTTAAGTAATAATTAGTGTATTGCTCTTTCTGCTCTCAAAAAAAAAAATCTCTTTCAATTTCACGTTAATGTTACTTATGCTTTCATAAAATGCATTTAAAGTAGGTGTTTTAAACTGGGATACTAGAAATGACAATGGTAAATCTTGAAATAACTCAAAAGTGGCAAGACAGTTCACTGAATATCACACTGGTCAAAATAAGGAGAGAAAGTTCTTTTCCCATTTTGGTATTGATCTACTTGGTGCAATTGTACAGGTCATGTTTATCTGAGGCTTGAATATATGATCTGTACAATGGGCATAACTGTGCTTTTCTGTTTTTTAAACCACTGGAAGGATTGAACTTTTATTAAAAAACTACTTTTGACAAATACTAAAACGAATGGAAGTCCAGAACTGACCAGCTTCTGGTGAATTAATGTTATATCCAAACAGGCTTTGCAAGGTTCTGGAGGTGTTGCAGTGAACTGTCTTGCAGTCTGGGCTTTCACATATCAGTGTGTAGCAAATGTAGTTGAACAGCCAACAGATAGTGTAACTTGGAAGCAATTAACACTTCTTTCACTGACATTGGTTAAATCTTGAATGTGAACTTGCTATTACAGGACTTCAAGTACCAAAAATATTGTGGCTCAGAAAAAAGGTAAGAAAGATAGAGGTGTCGCGAAGAAAGGCTGTGCACTTTCATGCATACACAACCTTTATTTTGAGTTAGAATAATTCTAAGTCATTCCAAATATCAAATGACTGATTTTTAAATGTCAGGTCTTCTGCAGATCCTTAGAGCAGCACCTCTGAAAATGTTCTTAAGGATAATAGAGGACAAACATTATCATAACCAGAAATTTTATTGCAAATACTAAGTGACAAATTCTGACAAGACTAGTTTGATTATATGAAAAGGGACTGAGGCGTAAGCTGCCATAAAGGAAGACTTCTGCAATTTATATTCTCTTGCTGATTTTTTTCATTTTTATCTAACTTAACAATTGTATCTATATTAAACCAAACTGAATGGTCAAGTAAATTTTAAAAGGGTTGATGAGATGATATGGTATCCGTTTGCAGTATCCCAAACCTATACTGTCTTTATAGAGTATTGGTCTTTTGTATTATTAACTTATCTGTAACCTCTGACTGCAGTAAAAATCTTTGCTACTACAATGTCTGATTTTGGCTCAGAGAGAACAGTGATGAGGAGATTCATTAGACCTTCACAGGATACTCTTGAGATTGCACGTACAAAGCATAGGGTAGGCTGCTGTGCTCAGGAAGCTTGGTACAGGTCCAGGACACAGTCATGGTTTCTGAAATGGCATAAGAAATTCTGACTGTAAAGGAAGAATATTGAATAAATCTTTATGGATTTAGTGACTGATCCATGCATAACAAGTTTTAGCTGTGTGTGTGGCATGCTGATTCTTGTAGTCCTTTGAATAAAGGCTACAGATTTTATTCTTTTTTGTCTGAGTCTCAACTCCAGGACTGCAGTGCTCCTGTGTGCAGAGATACCCGGCTGAAGGTTATCTGACTAATTCTGAAGTGTTAGACAGAGAATGCCAGCAGTTTCTGTTCTCAAGCCCTGTAATGCTGTTATAAATATGTAATTGACATACTATAATTACACTAAAAATCCAGTAATTCAACATGAAACTTTTATAGATGCACAATAAAGTTTCAGAAACATGACTCTTCTACTGAAACCCTATATTTAAATATATGGTGACATCAACATGTCCAGGAATGGTGTAATTAACTGGAGCAGTATTGTTAGGAGATTTTATTGAAAGTTATCTATAATATTAAAAAATCATTCACCTTATTTATAATGTTTCCTGGATGCAGTAAATGATCACTTTACTGAGGCACTCTAGGTTATTCCTTTGAGAAAATGACCTGGAAACTACAAGCATCTACCTATAGGATTTTTTTGTATGGGAACCTGAAGGTTTAACGTTTTAATACTGTCTAAGATTTAGAAGGAATGTTCTACCTATTACAGTTGGAGTACCTTCAGAAAACTTCTGTTAAACAGCTGTTATGCACACATATATTTTCTGGGTATTTTACCTAAAGATATCCCAGATTTGTTCCCAATTTTTGTGGCACAGGTTGACACTTTCAGCATGTGTTAGACTGTTGTGGAGTCTGTGTATAAAAAGCAGGAATAGATTCCTTGCTACCACTTTCTTCTAGCTAGAAAATAGCATGGCTAAACTACTACTCATGAAAATATGGCTTATAAAGGTACTACTTTGGCCTAGGTAGCTATCATTTTTCAGTTCAGGACATAGATGATCATGTCTAGCTCTGGAGGAGCTTGCTGTATGGACTTCTTGTCTCTCTGTTTTAGCTGGTCAGTGGGATGTACCTTAAGGGTCTTAACCACAAGCAGTTTACAGTCTGTAAGATTTTAGCACTTACTTGTAAGGTTCCAAGCCCATGGAAATTGGATGAAGGCTTTGGTTGCTTATCTAAATAGAGAAACAATAGAGAAAGACCCTGTTTCTGTTGAAGGGAAATAGGCAGATCAGCCGAGCTCTTGAGGAAAGACTACGGAGTTCCCATCTAGGCCTTCTCTGCCTAAGTGGCCTGAGGGGTCTGTAGCTGGGGTCTCCCATGAGTCATCATATCCTTTGATTTCTTGGTGTGGATGTGACAACTAGCTACTGAAGATAACCAATTACATATGGGAATGTAGCTTTTCCCACTTTCACTGAAGAAGACAAGATCTGGTCCTCTGGTCTAGTATGGGCAACTTTCCCACAGAGTCAAGTAACATCTCATGAGATTCTACTCTAAAACTGTAGTAAATCGGATACAGTAACACCTGCTTACAGGTACAGAAATAATTTGTCTGATATTCCCAATACTTTTCTTAAACTAAAGACCTGTGCATCCTGTTCAATCATGTGTCTATTCTGGAAGAATGTTTATGAGCAAACAAGTGGCATTAACCTCTCTGCCTTATTTCCTAGAAAGTTTCTGGAAAGTCTAGCTCAAAGGGTCAGCAAAGGTGGACAAGAAAGGCTTCGTGGATTAAGGGAATCTGGGTGGTCTTAAAGCTCCTGTCTTGTTCATATTTTCTTATTTTTCCTTTCCTCCCCCCCCCCCCCCC